TTATTTTATTTAGTTTATTTTATAATTTTTGAATTTTAATTGATTAATTTAATTTAATTTAATAAGAATAAAAATACTAATAATGATAAAATTGGGTAAAAATATTATTTGGATTTAATTGAAATTGATTTTGGGAAAAAGGGGTGAAAATTAGGATTCTGGGGGTATTTTTAAAAAGAAAATCGAAAACCGGAGGTCAAAACGTAATTTAGAAAAATTGTGCCCCGTCAGCGCCACGTCAGCGGCCCAGTCAGCAGCCCTGGCCAACCATGACCTGCCGCGTGGCAAGATCACGTCGACCCGGGAACAGGCCACGTGGGCGATCCGCGTGCGCGCGATCGGACGGTCCAGATGCGTCCCCGCGCGCACGGACGGCCCAGATTTAATCAAAATGGACGGATGTGATCAAAAGGCAAAAGGATATAAATAGAACCCCCACACCTGACTACAAAAACCCTAGCCGCCTGCCCTCGCCGGAGAAGACGAACCAGACGCTGGAGGAGCCGGCCGCCGCCACCCGCCGCCACACCGGGGAGTTTTTCGACCGTCGATCGAGGTAAATTTCATACTCCCGGCTCGTTTTTCCACGCTGAATTCATCTGTGACCAAATCGGAGCCAAAATCCCGGCCAAACAGCTAGAAAACACAGCCGAAACCCAGCGGCGCCGCCGCGTCCCTCCTCTGCTTTTGCCTCCGATGAGGCCCTTCCCGGCCTCCGTTTGATACAATTTTTATATCACCGTGATCACCATTCTTTTCTCTACAGGTTGATCGGAGCCAAATCACCAAAACACGAACCTCACCGGAGAGCCGCCGTACTCGTGAGCACCGCCGCCGGTAAGCTTCGGTTTTTTGTAATTTTTTGGCCCCCCGAGGGCCCTAGGGTTGTTTTATCGCAGGGACCGATGCAAGTGTGGCCGAATTCGGCCGAAAACGGCCAACCCGAGGCAAATCACCGCCGCTTGCATGCATAAAGGAAACACAACCGAATCATCTTACCAATTCTAGTGTATTGTTAAGCATTCGAAACTGTAAAGTCAAATAATTAGTTAAAACAGGACAAACAGTAATAAATAACTGATTCCGGCTCCATTAGTAACATGTAACTAATTATCGATATTTTAAAATTACACAAAATACCGTATTATTTATAATTAAATTTCAATTCTATAATAGGAAATAAGGTGAAGGAGTCTTATTCGAATTGGTGTCTGAAATACTAAACTTTTAGTTGTACCTACGGGTGGTCCCTGGATTTTCTGAATTTTCCTTCGGATATTAAAACACGCTTCAAGTACCTAGAAATACCCTAAAAAAATCTAAAATCGGTGTTAAAATTTTTTTTCGACCAATTTTAGAATTCTGGCATGGTGGTGGTGGTTTGCGTTGGACTTGCTGTTTTCGGCCAGTTTTGGCCGATTTCGGTCGGTTTTATACTCATCCATATGAGAAAAAATGTTAAGGGGCCTCAGTTTGCCCAAAAAATTCGAAAAATAAAAACTCACAGACGGTAGGATTTTTCGTTGCGGCGGCTCCGTTGTTTCATCTTCGCGGTTATATATTTTTCTTTGGTCAACTTGTAGGAAACAGAATGATGATTATAATGGTGGAAAAATTGTACGAAACGGGAATCAGGAAGGGGCTCATCAGAGGCGATTTTTAGTTTTTCCCGCAGCGGCGCCACCAGGCTTTACCCGCGATTTCTGACTCATTCGCTAGTCCTTTTGCTTCGATTTGGCTATGGGGGTGTTTAAAATCAAATTTAGAGCGAATGGAATTTTTTTTACCTTTCTTTGGCGATCGGAGGTGGCTCCGGCACGGCGACGAGCAGCGGTTGGCTCCCTTCTCTGACGACTGGTTCTTCTTCTCTGGCGAGGGGTTGGCGGCTAGAGTCAGGGTTCAGTGTGAAGTGAGGTATTTATATCCGTCTCCCTTTAATCTGAACTGTCCATCGTATTTAATATCGACAGTCCGATCGAGGTTAAAGAAGAAATGAATATGAACTGTTTATTGCGATTTAATCTGGACCGTACAATCGCATTTAAAGAGGGAACAGATTTGGACTGTTAATCGCGTTTAATCGCGACTGTCCGATCGCACTTGAGGAGGAAACGAATTTCGACAGTCGACGCGCGTCTTGCCACGTGGTGTGCTCCGATTCGTTAGGGCTACTGATTGGGCAGTCCTACGTGACAAATTTTTCTTAAATTGTGTTTTGACTCCCAATTTTTGATTTTTCTTTCAAAAAATATGCCCCAAACCCAAATTTTTACCATTTTCTTCGAAAATTATTTTTAATTTCATCTACCTATTTTTTTCCTTTAATTTTATATTAAATAAAAATTTATAAAATTAAAAATTATATTTTTATTCATTTATTTTTTTTTATTTTTTATTTTTATTTTTATTATTATTTTTTAAAATTAATCCCGGGCCAAATCTTGGGTCCAAGTATTACATAATCGCTTCCGCATTTAAATTATAAATTTATTTTATTTAAGATTTTGGATTTCTACACCAGGAGTTCTAATAAACATGTAAAAAAGAAGAATGACTAATCTTGTTCATTTGTACATTAAATTATAAATGTTATATGCGTGTTTGTCCTATAGGTTGATTGTAGCGCCCGGGAAATTGAAGAAGAAAAAAAAAAAAAGGAGAGGCCACGTCAGCAGCCACGACAGCAGACCCAGTCAGCAGTCCCAGCCAACCGGGACCTGCCACGTGGCAAGACCACGTCGATCCGGGACGGGCCACGTGGCGA